ATTAAAAAAAAAAACTATCATTAAGTACCAGAAATGATCATCTGTTAACATCATTACGATCAGTGACAGTCCAAGCAAATCAAGTCCCGTGTCCTGTGTGTTTGTGTATGTATGTCCTGGACAGCAAGGATGACTGTGTGCAACTCTTTTAAAACTAATGAAAGAGAGGAGGGGTTGCCACACACCCCTGCTTTCCATCGCTAGGAGTTCATTTGCCCACAGCCTGCCCCTGCTACCCTAACTCTGATATCACTCTGCTGGTCTGGGTGAGTGTCCCTCTCAGGGGCTACATGAGAGTGGTCAGTGACCTTGAGAGTTTGCCTGTCGTCCTCAGGACGGGCCTACAGATTGTCAGGAATATACATGCATATTTGAGATGGAATCTTAAAGAAGGTAACAGATCTGTAACCTAAGGGCCATCTTTAAAAATATTAGATTGCTTCTTTTGTGTTGTTTTTTGGAAAAGGCTTCTGTTCCTTTATTAGCTTTCAGTTATGAAATGTACAGCAGAACCATGTGTAGCTGAACAAATCTCAGTGAGTCATCACCTGTTTTCTATCCTGGAGGCTTCCTTTTCTCATCCTAGGCAAGTTTCATAAATCGGTTTGGCAAGGTTAATCTTCTTTAGCGTAGATCCAAACAAGTTGTTCTATGACCTTGCGTGGTGGGGAGAGATGTTAGAAGGATGTCTCAAGCGCTGCAAAGTCCTTGGGGCCTTAAAGTTCTTACAAATGTATGTATATAAAATTATATGTGGCCTTTCTCTACGTTGTGCCTATAATTTTGCATTTTTACCATAATCCAATTTGGGGGGAAATCTGATTTTTAAATTCTGATGTTATCATCTAGTATCTGGTCTGCAGTTTGCCACTCCCTGCAACTTTTCCTACAGGGGAAAGGAAGGGAAATGCCAGTTGTGTTACATGTTAGCAAATCTCCTGGGAGACTTTTCTGGGGACGGATTGAAAAGGAGCTGACAACAGGTTTAGTTTCGGTTGGGGGTGGGGAGGGGAGATCACTGTGCTGCCTTGATGAAGTTACAAGAAAGGGAATGGTCTCCGTTGAACACAAAGCTGTTGGCTCCGCTCTGGTCCCTGGAGAAACACCCCGTCTGTCTGTCTTTCTGTCTGTCTGACTCCGTTCTGAGGCCCGGGTTCCCCCACCCTGTGCAGAAGGCCTGGACCCTCCTGGCTCTGCCTGAACTGATGACAGAGGAACGGCTCTGCCCGTTTCCACCTTGAAAGTCATCATCCTCCTGGCCAAGTGCTTCCTGTTAGTCTCTGTAAAGGAAGAGCTGCTGAAAAATGACCCTGTGGCTTAGAAAGCAGATTCTCAAGGAAAGCGAGTCTGCCCTGGGGCCATTTATCAGGGACAATAACCATGATTTAAGACGAGTGCATGAGCACATGGCTGGAAGCCAGGAGTGCTTCTAAGACAGGAGTGCACTTTACTGGTCTTTCTCATCTCGGGAACTTCTCCACCCGAGACAGCCTCTTGCACATGTACACGTCGAGGAGTTATAAATCACATCAGGCTGCTTCCTTCCATGTGGGCCTTATTCTCCTCTCTGCACCTGGCCCGGACCCTCACTGGTGTGCACGTCGTCCTCCCCCTGCTCCCCGCCATCGCCACACAGTTGAAAGGGACACATGGACTCTCTTCCTTTTATTTTTTGGGGGGATAGTTTTTATTGAAGTAATTGTTACATGGCCCACCCTGTGCAATTTGTTCTACAAACCCATTTT